GAGAGATTCCCCACAGAAATCACTTGGTAGGGCCCTTCTTTTCTGGGTGGTCAAGGGGAGAAGAAGGGCTATGGTTGGCATGTGGGAGGGGGAGGAGGGCAGGAAAGCACCAGAATGATTTGGACATTGGTGGGGGCAGGGGAGACAGAAGCAAATGGGTGCTTCTACTCTCTTACTTTGCAGACCCAGGTGGGGGAAGTGCATTTGGATGGGGGGGGGGATTAGCAAGGGGAGGAGGGGCTTCCAGTCATGCATATTGCAGGGGCGGCATCTGTAGTCCAATATGGGCACTGAAAGTTGGGGAGGGGAAAGTGGTAGAGGACTTTGCTTAGGGCCCTGTTGTGCACAGCCCCCAAGTAGAGTGGTGAGGCAGCTACCCTCATCCACTGCTCCTGTCTGGGACAATTCTTCCTGTTTGGCCATGGGGAGACCAGGCATCTGCCTCAGAAAGATGCCTGTCAGATCCTGCATATCTCATTCTGGCTAGCCCTGGATCTGAAACAACCCAAAGGGGTGCCTTCCTGGCCCTGGTTGACATTCCAAGTTGCATGCAGCTGGAGTCTCTGCCCTGGCATGCTTGCAAATAGAAGGAGCCTGTGGGCAGGTTGGCTGCCCAGCTTCAGACATAACAGCTCAGGACCCCGGCTGGCATTTTCTGTTTTGTCAGGGTGGGAGCTGTGGGGGAAAGTTAACTGGCCTTGCGAAATGAAGGCACCCTCATGGTGGCAGCTGCAAGGAAAAGTTTGACCAAAAGGGGGGGACTGTAAGGGGCCGGGACTTGGCAAGTAGCTGCGAAGCTGCTTCTTGCTCTGCCCGGTGCTGCCCAGTTTTGGCAGGGCACAGGAGGTGTTCTGTCGGATGGCGAGTTGGTAAACAAGGACCACCTGGATTCATCTATAATGTACACGCAGCTGAAAGAACTAAAAGGTCTGTAGTTTTAAATTCAAGCAAATGGTTTAAATTCAAGCAAATGATTTACCTTCATGCTAATACAGTTAACCAGGACAGCTGTTTATCATATGGAAAGCTATATAACTAAAAGCATGGCCCACATCCCAAGTTTCCATTGACTTTCCATTTATTCTGCTTAGATTATTTTCTCTTTCAAAATGACTAAATAATTCTGTATTTTTCAAAAATTTAAATAAAAAGAAACAAACTTACATGATTGGTTCAACTGCTCATTAGCCTTCTGAGGATAAATTGGATGCCACACATAGTCAATTGTGAGCATAATACTTGGTACTGTCCAGCATTCAACCCAGCCAGCCCTATTCAAAAAGAATGGTCTCTGTAGTAATTGATTATCTTATTAACTTTTTCTTAACATAAAAAGACCCACAGCAACAAACATTACACATTAGTTTCTTGTATATTTTGACATGTAACAAAAGAAACCAAACTTACTCTTCTTGAGTCATGTTCCTCCACCTGGGCTTGCTTTGTTTCTGACCACTCTGACTATCAGCAGGTGCACAAGACTCAGGATTTAATTTATTAGGATGACAATCTTTCACCAACATAAACAGAGAGTATTTACTAGGGTGGCAATCGGGTAGAAGTAAGTGAAGATCAAGACTATCTCCCTGAAAATACAATATAATAATATTTCAATATATTATATTTAAAACACACAGAAGCAGCCAAAAGTATTGGTGCTCCTCAATATTTTTTCCAAAATAAACCCAATTTCCCATAAAATAAGTTGAAACTGACACAAGTAAATGGCATCCACCATTCTTTATTCCACAGTCCATAGAGCAGACACTTTGCTTTCAGTATTCTTGCGAATATTGAAACCAACAGAACATCTATGGAAAGAGATGAAACTCACAGTTGGGAGAAGGAACCCATCAAACCTAAGACAACTAGAATAGTTTGCTCAAGAAGAGTGAGACGAATTACCAGTTGAAAGGTGTATAAGTCTTATTCAGAGCTACACAAAGTTATTGCCTCCAAAGGGTGTGCTACGAAATATTAGTTTATGGGTACCAATAATTATATCCATGCCATTTTCATTTGTTTCATTATTTACAAGTATATGTTAAGCCATACATCAAACCAAAGTGTCTGTTCTATGGACTATGGAAGAAAGAAAGGTGGATGCCATTTACTTGTGTCAGTTTTAACTTATTTCATAGCAAATTGGAATTCTTTGGGGAAAAGTGGACGGGTACTAATACTTTTGGCCATATCTGTATATTAAATATACTATAATATATATATTTACACATAATTTAAATTGCACCTTGATAGATTATGGAAAATACTTATACTTAAAAGTACATTTTTTGTATACATATTTATTTATTTATTTAGTCAGTCAGTTACTCATTCTTTCAATTTAGAGGCCACCCAACTCCATAAGACTCTGGGCGGCTTACAACCTTAAAAACAGAAAAACAATAAAACAATGAGAACAAAGACCATGCACATCCAAAAGTAGAAAAATATTTAAATAAAATTATAATCCCCAAGGCCTGGGGAAACAGCCAAGTTTTCAACAACTTTTTGAATGTTATCAAGTTGGGAGCCATAAGGATTTTTTGGTTAACATGTGCAAAGATATCCTCTATATTTATTACCTACAGCATTTGGCACTTCAATGTGGACATGTAAGAAAATGACAACAACCGTTATAAATTTATATGAGAAATATAGTTATTCATAACAGGAAAAAAAATATTTTCAAAGTGTTTTAAATAGAAGGAAGGAGCCATGTGGAAAGAGTTATCAAACATTTTCCACAATTACATAATATATAATAAAATTAAGTAGCCTAAACCCTATTGAAATAATTCCACTATTATAAGGCAAATAATATTTTTCAAACCTATCTATCATTTTCAATAAAGACTATGCTAGTACTCTGTCTGTATGGTCCCAAATGTCAATCACATATATTTGAGTTGAATCTCAAGATTACAACTGTTACCATATCTATATATTTAAGAGTAAAATTAATGGCACAATTAATTACTGAACTGCAGATACAAGTGCCACTACAAACTTATTTATCATGGTTTATAAAAAGCACTTTTAAGAAGAAAATAGAAATTACCAGAATCAGTTTTTGATTTGGGCAGCCGTATAAACCCAGTAATAAATAAAAATAAATACATAAACTGGGAAAAAAAGAAAAAATTGACAGCAAGTATTCAAGCAGGATCTGAACAATATGAACCATGATGTCTGAGCTAGGCCTTTTCTTTGCTCCTGGCTAGATGCAAATCTACATTGTTGCATGTCAGCTTTATTACAGAAACAAATGCAATTTAGTTTGAAGGCAATCATGCCACTTACCCTTAAAGAGAATCTAGTACTGCATGTGCTTGGGACAAAGTCAATAAAAGGCAAAGAGAAAACTATATTTAATGTTTCCCCGCAGGCAGCCACATAAACTAGAAGAGGGGAAAAAATCAAATATAAATTAATCATAAAAATATTTCATTTATCAAACTGACATTATAAAGACAATTTGTAATACTATAATCACCATTAAAAAGTGTCTTGGTATGGCTTTTAATATACTACTTAAGTAGTTATTAAAAATGAGAGCATTAGAATTGCTCTGCAATCATTCTCAAAAGTAAAGGTTTGTCAAGTGCAGGAATGCACATTTGCAAAATTAAGAAGTGAAAAATGTAGCAGAAGCCTTGCTCTGTCAGCAGCACTGGAACTGAGAAGCAATGGAACAACAAAGTAGCTCAGGAGGTTTAGTAAAAAATGGAGATCAGTTTTCCTACTGTATTTAGGAACTGCAATCATCATCATCATCATCATCATCATCATCATCATCATCATCATCATCATCATCATCTTTAATGGGGACCTACTATGGGAAGGCAGAGAATACCTGTGTGCTAGTACATATTGGATGAAGAATTATGCCTCCTCAACAGAAATATATTGTAGTACAAGTACTGAACTAAAGAATGAGAAAGAGGCATCTTAGAAATCTGTTTCTGTTTCTGTTCATTTGTAGATAAACAAGAGAGAGGGGCAATGAGGTGCTGGACTAGGAGCAGGGAGACCCAGTCACTTTCTCTCAATTCAACTGACCTCATTGCGTAGAAAAATAGAGACCACAACTGTTCTGAACCTCATTCAGTTTTACATAGCAAGCCAGCTGACTATTTCTGACATTCCAAAAAGTACATTTGTGTCTGACTTTGTCTTGGGGGAGTCTTTTCACTTCTATTTTCATTTACATTAGAAGCAAATGTATACAACATATTTTAAGAATGTTGTATTCCTTGTATTCCATTATTGTTTTTGTAGTTATTACAGAAACCTTCTTGTCAGTGATAAAAAGTTTTTTTTTATAAATATATGTTTGATAGCTTGCATTCATAGCTTGAGGCTATCCTGATTTAAAAACTTACTAAATTAGAAAATACACAAGGAGAATTGCCCATTTTAGAAATATTGTTATATTGTATATTGTTAAATCATTATAGTGCTTTCTTATGTACAGTTTTGTTTTCTTACAGTCCCTTTGAGAAAGGAACATCTTTCCAAAATGTGTTGAGATTAATCAAAACTTTTTTTTTTTACTGGTACTTGGGATTTGTTAATTTAATAAATAAAAACAAAATGAACCTTCTTAATAATAATATCAGTAACTGAAAAGAGGAGAGAGATCTGAAATCATCAACATGCCTGAAATAAAACTTGTATTGAAGAGATGAGAAACAAACAGCCTAATTCTGTATTTACCTGAATGGAAGACGACCTAAATTTAAAATGCCTTACTCTCCCCCCACAAAAAAAAAAAAAGGCTAGACAGAAAAAAGCATAGACAATACAATGGCCAGTGTCATCATCTTGCCAAGCTTAGGCTACCAGTTCCAGCTCAAATCAAGACAGCAGGTTTCCTTCCCTTCTCCTGTTCCCTAGGTGCATGTGGCAAAATGACTAGGGGAAAAAGGCATTAACTGAACAATTACTTTTCAAATGAATTGCTTATAAACTAAGTTATACCACCTGCAAAAGCAAATGATCCCCCATTTGCATACACCAACCATTCTCACTCACACAAAAGACTACCACAGAACATGCTTCTTTCCTTCCAGTGGAAAGAGCAAAAGCAGGTAGAAAAAAAAAAAGATGGTTATCTATGGGGTAGACACAGCATGTGGGAAGTTTCAATCATCCCACTTAGCTGCAAAAGATTTTTTCCCCTTATGGAATATTCTTCAAATTACACACTGATAATTAATATAAACATAGTAATTGTTGAACATGGAACCTGTTCATATGCTAGTAACAGTTCTTTCACTGTACATTTCCAGGCCTATTGCAGTTACAAAGAAGAAAGAGGAAAAAAAAAAAAAGGACCTGGAATCATCTTCAGGTGACATGGTGTTTGTTTAAATATATTTGGATCTTTTGGATGATGATGATGATGACGATAGTAATAATTTAAGCATGCATTGCTGCTCAAATAGCTATAAGAAGAAATTTAGTATGCATACTTTAAAATATACAGTTCTCACCATTTTCCTGTTGCTTTGTGGAACAATCAATCCAATTGTGCTGATTTGCAGACCAAATCATTTCAAACTGATGAAACATCACTTTAAAATTCCATGTATAGGGAACAAATGAGAAGATATCAGGAGCGCCATCACTAGACCAATCCTGAATCAAATCTAAAAATTAAGAGAATATGTTACTTCAGTGGGGGTGCTTATTCGTACAATAAACCCTCACCTTATCAGACCTCTCCTTATTTATTGTAAAAATATTTCAAATAAATAGAAGTAGGTCTCACTGTTCATAGCCAAGTTAATCTAATTAAGTCTTGGATGAGAGACCATCAGAAAATATCAGGTCTGAAGAATAGACTAGGTAGTCAAAAAACATTCCTGAAAATAAACCATTTCCATCTTGTCACCAAAAAACCTACACAGATATGCCAATAGAAACACCAAAGTTGAGCATGTCTTGAAGGAGACATCTCACAGTATTTAACAGAGTTTGCTCCAGTTAATTAAACACAGAATTGAGCTGTAAATACATTCAACTCAATGTCTGATACCGTATAACATATATGCTACGTTTTTAAAAATGCCAATTCACACAACATACTTACTATTCTACTACCACCTGATTCAGATAATAATGTCATACTAACAGGGTATAATTTTGCTGCCATTTCCAAACATCTTAGTGTTACAAATGGACATCAGAATAAATTTGACTAAGCTTTAAATCAACATACCTTTACAGAGAATATTCGAATGAACACCATTAAAAATTAAAAGAATCAAAAAAAGTACTTGGACTATTCTGAAGTACAATCCTTTCCAAAATCTAGCAATATTTATTTTATTTATTTATTAGATTTATATCCCACTGCAATCATAAACAAATTCTTAGCACCTCACAATAAAAACATAAAAGTACCAAAAATATATAAGAAAACCCAACAATATAATACCTGGCATATTTCAGTTTCAGAACTTGCATCTCTTATTTTTCACTTAAGCACATGCCCGGTTGTATTTGTGTATACTGTGTTTACAAAGATAGATTTTAATCTCTCTCTCTCTCTGCATGCACATGTGTGTGTGTGTGTGTGTAGACAAAGATATAGATACAGGTAGAAATAGATATTGTGCCTTCAAGTCAGTCTTGACTCCTGGCAACTGCCTGGACAAGTCCCTGCAGTTTTCTTGGCAAGATTTCAGAAGTGGTTTACCATTGCCTGCTTCCTAAAGTTCATAGAATTGTAGGGTCTAGTCCAACCCCCTGCCCAAGGCAGGAGTCTTGGTTGTCCAGTCTTTTCTTGAAAACCTTCAGCAAAGGAGCACCCACAACTCTGGGAGGCAAGCTGTTCCACTGCTTAATAGTTCTCACTGTCAGGAAATTCCTCTTTATTTCCAAGTTGGATCTCCCTCCGACGAGCTTCCACCTATTGCCTCTTGTCCTACCCTCAGGTTCTATGGAGAATAAATCAACGCCCTCTTCCCTGTGGCAGCCCTTCAGGTGTTGGAAGACTGCTATCATGTCTCCTCTCAGTCTTTTCCCTGTTAAGCTAAACATATTTAGTTCCTTTAGCCTTCATAGGATTTAGCCTCCAGAACCCTTATCATCTTTGTTGGTCTTCTCTGCACTCTTTCTAGGGCAGGTTACTCAACCAAGGTTCCATGGAACCCTAGGGTTCCATGAGAGATCACTAGGGGTTCTCTGGGAGATCATGATTTTAAAAATTACTTCAAATTTGGGCAACGTGCTCTTGCAGTGATGAGCAGAGACTGAACAAAAATTTAGTTACAACTCTTTCTGAGCTCTCTGGTAGTGCTCTGTAGGACTGCGTTTATTTGGCTGAATCCATTCTTAATTTTTGACGCAAGATAGGGGACACTTGATAACAGGTGAGCGCTATATTACAGGAAGGGAGGAATATATTGCAGGAAGGGAAGAATATACTGAAGGAAGGAAGGAATATATAGTAGAAAGGGAGGAATATACTGAAGGAAGGGTAGGGAGAAATGCATTTTTCAAGAAATTAATGGACTCGTCCAACGTAGTCCGTGATGTCAATCTCTCCCTTCTGCATCTCTTCCCTGCAGCTTTCATATACAGCTATTAATAGGCTCCATGCTGGGAAGAAGGGTAGAGAAATAATAGTCTCCAATTCCTCCTTGTCCCAGAATCATTTCTTAAAGTGGCCTCTCTGTTGGGGGTCTCCAGGTGTGTGGACTTCAATGCCCCTAAAATGGCTATACTAACCACAGATCTCAGAAAGGAAGTAATACGTTGGAATAGTAACCAATTGGGGAAAGATTACTTAGGTTGTTATGAAAAGTTCCCTCTGGTGCTCCACTGGAAGCTAAATGTGGAACAAGGAATCACAAAGATTGCTTCTTTCCCTTTTCTTCCATCACAAATAGAAATCTACCTAGTGCTAATCTGGATCCAACCCAGGATCATTACATATAACATCTGACCATTTAAAAAATATACTATCAATCCATCACAACTCACTAATGATTGTTGTAAGACCACAAAGCAAATAATCAGTTCACAAGAAAACAACTGTTTTTACAAATTTCATTTTGCCTATGGTTTAGTTTATTTTACCTATGCTTTAGTTTAGAATCTTTAGGTAGACGCTGCTGGCTAAACATACACACACACAAAACACAAATAAAACAATAAAAATAATGTTATTTTATGATACTCGGCTTTGTGTTTTTATTTCATAATATGTATGTTATTTGTTTTATCTATTTTATTCTAAGCTGCCCAGAGTCACATGTGTGAGATGGGCAGCTATATTAATCAAATAAATAAATCATATAAATAAATAAACACATTTTCCTAATGAAACTGAAATGCAAGCATATCTTTTGTGCTTGCTTTTATGAATAAGAACACTCCTATGGATAGGATTTATGGCTAAGCCAATTTGGCACAACCTGGAACAATAATTCATTTTAATAATGCTTCTTAATAGTCACTTCCATATTAGTATGCTGATAATGGCATAATTTGAAAGTGGCAAATAATATATGACACAAAATACCTGTAAAGAAGTTTTTTTGAGCAAATATGAAATGGTAGGTAGCTTTATATACTTCAACTTCACTCTGCCAGAGTTGTGGCATGTTCCATATTCGGGGATAAAAGGCATTAATGTGAAACTAAAGAAAATATAAAAGAAATAGATACTGTTAACAACGTATGATTCATGGCCAAAAATGTAACAGCAAAGATAGAGAGCCATATAACTCCTGTTTATTAACTTCTAAATCTTTCTGTTTATTGCTGATATACAAAATCATCTATCTGAAAACTGCCAAAAGATCTCCTTCTGTAACTAACCCACCGAACAATGGATTTATTTTGTAAAGATGGAAACTATTTTGAGGTGACCACAATAAAGCTTTTTACATCCATCCATGAAAGATATGTGACTGTTCAGGAAGCACTAAATGATAGTAACAGGCTTGTTTAGTCTCCAAAGATGTGGCTAAATAAAAGTCCCACTGAAGCATTACACCTGAATAAAAAGTAGAAAAGCCAAAAACTTAAATGCTAGCCCTACTTATAGCATCCCTAGTCCCCCTGTTGAGATTGCAGGGAAATCTGCCACAGGCTTCTACTCAGGTTTGAATTATTGAGTAAAAAAATAACCTTAATTCATTTGGGAACCATAATGTATATCAGAGTTCCACACAATCAAAGAACACTAACTGTATTCAAGCACCAAATTCAGGAAAATTTCTAATCTTTGATGTGTTTTTTTTTCTTTGTGATTTTTATTCAAGAAAATATATAGCTAGCATACTGTATACACTCTGGTGTATACAGGTTGGACCTGCTCTTAAAGTAACTTGGAAAGCAAATACAACAGAAATTATTCTGAGAGTATGCACGTTACTTACAGCTAACATTTCTGCTTCTAAGAGAGTCCGGAACTGCATACTACTGGTAGCATCTATGTGTAAAAGTTGTCCTTTAATAGTGGGAGAGTAGCCTAGTAAGCAAAACAAAGCATTGCTTTAGGATTATGTCTCTTTTCAAATGCATCAAAGAAGTTGGAACAAGTTGCCTTATAAAGTGGTATGTTTCTCATCAGCTGAGATCTTGATAGATAGCCAACAGTCCAAAACGTTTTAGCAGATCTGCACTAAGCAGGAAATTGGATGAGATGACATTTGAGGTCTCTTTCAACTTTATGATTCTATGAAGTATCCATCTCTAAAACTATTTCGTGCATACTATCAGTAGAAAATATATAATATGAACTGATACAATTTAAAAATAAAGGTTTTAGTTGAAACATCTATTTTTAAGGAAGAGAAGGGATGTAAATATTGCAGCTACATTGTCAACACAACTGTCTGTAAAAATAAATAATAAGGAATATTCATAGACTATAACAGGGCAAATCTAGTTGCCAATAGAAGCAAATATGCATAGCTCAGGGTTGAACTGTGGAGTCCTTGGGGTTCTCTGAGCTTGGTTGTTTTCTTGCAAATGTTTCATTACCTGGCTAGGTAACATCTTTAGTGCTAGAGTGGGATGGGGTTTGCTCTCTGTTTATATATTGCATAAGGTCTAATTGAGTAAGGTGTAAAGGTGTTTATATATTGTGTAAGTGTAAGGACTGTAACAACCACTATGTAGGACCGACAGGCAGAAGGCTTGCAGAGCACATCCATGAACACCAACTAGCAGTCAGAAGACATGATGAAAACTCCTTAATCTCATAACACATGAACAGACTTAACCATAGTTTCAACTGCAAAACTGTCAACATCTTAGACAAAGCTAAATCCAAAAATGCAAGGGAATTCTTGGA